GCGTGTGTTTTCGGGGTACCCAGCTGGGGACATTGGTTCACGAATCACCGCCGAGTCGGTATGACTTGTCTTAACTCTAGCACCGTAGTAAAAACTGAAAGATGAAAGATGGAATGGAAAAAGGAAATCTGATTGCTTACCACCTGCTTGAAAAGTAGCACAGGTACTAACATAGAATGATTAGTAATGAACCAATGCGACTATTAATAAAAATCGAATATAAGGACGCACGCTTAGTAATGCTTCCTGCAAATGCAATAAACCCACCAGCCAGATAGCCTTGCATATCCTTGGAGTGTTTTCTTTCCTCCTGTCAGGTAAGTCTTGCTGAGTACAATTGAGTACTCAGGGTTTTATTCCCCCTGTTGCAGGTGACAGATGGATGTTAGAGCTGACCCTTGTGTGTGGACACCTCCTGGTGGGCTCAGCGATGATTCCTTTATGCTGCGATCGTAGTTGTTATTGATAACTCTCACCAAATACTTTTATAAATGAAAGTTTCATAATTTGTTGTCATAGTTTATATATCAATACTTCATCATGTTATGATTAGATATTTATTTCCGCTGTAATTCGGATCATATGTTTATATTCCGCTGTTCAATTAATTGTTCATAACTCTGATAATATGATTACATTCCGCTGTTATAATAATAAATATTATACTCTAATATTGTATTAAAAGTGATGTAAGAAATGGTTAAGAATGATGTAAGCTTTATTCTCTCATTTACGATCCTGATGGCAAAAAGGTGGATTTTCGGATTCTCCCCTAGGGTGTGCCCGACGGAACCGAGTAATTTAGTGTTCTCCCTTGACTGCTTAGTGTCTAATGGAAGACAAGCACTCCTGGAAGGCATTAGATTATGCGGTTCTGCCACACATGGTATCAGAGCGCAAATGAGAAAATACAGCTTCGAAAACCTTTTCTAAACTAAAAATTGACAACAAACTCATTTCAAAAAGTTAGGAGGTCTTTATGCGAAGTTATATAAGTAGCCCTATTATTATGGTTATGTATCCAGGATAGATGACACTCTGCTGACTTAGGTAGGTTTAATCAATTTTTCTGCAGGTACACTGACCCGAGCATAGTACGATAGCATCGACTAGTTACAGAGAGAGAACGATGTGCCAAAAATCTGAGAACGGTTGCCCTATATGTTGGCAACAGTGAAAGGATGTATATGACGTGCATTCATGCATATCCTGTTTGTGCATTGTAGTGGCGTATTGCTTGCAGATACCCCATCCATAGGTGTCATGCGTCTAGTATTGTGTACGACTGACTCGTTCCTGTCCCAGAGTTAGGTCTGCACTGTGGCTTCGTGTTTCGCGTTCGCCCATGGTTCCCGCCTGTAGTGACCCACGTCTCCCCGTACCCCTTTTATGTGCTCTTGTCGGACCCTTACCCTGTAGTCGTACTAGTCAGTAATGGCATCGCACGTCGCTGGCCTCGAACGCGCGGAATTGGGTCAATTCATTCGTAGTCACCCTGCGCCAGGACCACTGAACGCTCCGCCTTTATAAGCAGAGCCTGACTTAGCCCTTGGTACCACCACTCGGCGCACTTTAGCTCGCTTAGCTTTTCCTTTGAGCTAGCTTTTCGCTCAGCCTTCCTCACTACCACCGCCAGAAAATGGCAAGAGCCTGGGTTAGTAGTTACCGCCTTAACGTTGAGGGTTTTCCCAGAATCTTGCATGCCACCCTGCAAAAGCTCAGAGTCAAAGATCGTCCCGAGTATGAGGGCCGTGAGTATGAGGAGCATGGCACCGAGCGGTGTGAGGTTACCATCTACATCAGGAAGAGCGAAGAGTTTCCTGACCTCACTAAAGCCTCGAGTGTGACCGCAACCGGGTTTAGCTTCATCGACACCTACCAGGTTGTGGCCCGCAAAGCCTTGCGGTACCTCTGCCAGATCTATGAGGAGCCCATTGCCCGTACCCACATGAGTTTCTTTCCACCTCTGGACAAGAATCGACGGGCATGGAGGGCTCGCATGGAGGCCTTACAAGGGCGTGATGCGCAAGAGGACAATCCTACCATGGTGCATTTGACCACATACCTACTTGCTCTGGATGAGCAGTATGACCAGCAAGCCTTGGAACTTAGGATCTGCCTCCGTCAAGCCGAGGAAGCCGAGATCTTTAATCGGATGCTCCAGGTGCAGCTCGCCAAAGCGCATGTCGCTGTCTTGCTGCCCACGGAGAGCCGTGGAGACGCCATGTCGGAAGCTCAAGGAGGTCAAGATCTAAGCACGTCCATCGGTGCGTCGCGGCCTATCTTGTCACCAGGGCCAAGCGGAGGACGCTGGCTGCTGAAAGGCAGAATGCCCCAATCTTGGAAGGGATCCCTATCCACCTGCCAAAAAGGAGAACCGGTGTTGCAGTGCCGCCGGCACCTCCACCTTCGAAAGTGTCAGAAGTAGAGCCCTTGATTCCTCTCACTCAGCCATCACCAAGAGAAGATGCAGATCCATAGCTAGGGCGGTGGAAGAATCCGCCGCGCCCGGGAATAAAGATGCGTGGCTAGAGTAGCTTAGTTGCCTTGGAAGGCTGTACCTGTAGTAGTAGTGCTTTTTGTTGCTGTCCTTCGGTATTGTACTCTTACCGTTGTGGTCGTCCGTAGTTCTTGAGATCGTCCGACCGTAGGGAATGTTGTGTCGTGAATGGGAGACTAGATGCATGTATGATGTACCCGTATAAGACCGTTGGAATGTGCAATTTTGTTATTTCGCTGTGTTTATTGCGTTCATCTACCTTAAGTCCCGTTAGACGCGCTTAAGGTTTTCAAAGGCGATATCCAGCAGGTTACAAGAGAAGTTACTATTCGGATGCCAACAGACCAGCCGTAATTGGAGGACATTGGACACTGTATCGACTAATTGTGCTTAAGGTTCATGTATAATTTGAAAGCTTTATAACCCCACAGGTTTAAGAAGGAGCAAAGATAAGGATTCCATCAAAGACAAAATAATAGGTACAAATATGAAATCCTACATGTTGCTCAGCTATGTCACGTATTGCAGGTAACAAGAATTGATTCTTCTCATGAGTGCACAAATAGTATGTCAATGCCTCACGAATAGGCTTTGCATGCTCCTGCATGACATAAAAAGGATTTGGAAAACATCTTGTCAACTAATCTGAAGATGTAGGCAATATATCATAATCAAATGATCACAGTTTTAAAAATAGAACTTGACAAAGCCATAATTCAAGAACAAAGTAATATCTCTTTGAAATAAAGGTGAGTTAGGCCATCATATAAGTAATTCAAGAACATATTGAAAAGCACTATCACAATGAGTAATTAAATATCCATTTGAGAACAAAAAGTTAAGACATACAAGTAGCAAAACAAAACTTAAGCATATAATTTAATAAACCAAGTCCAACACACAAGTTAATTACTACAAGTTATGTGCAAAATATAATAAACCAAACAAGTTATGTGCAAAAAAACATAAAAGTTAATAGCTACAAATTATATCCACAAATTTAGGCATAAACTTTTGTGGAGAAAGTTAGACACAAAAGTTACGTGCAGAAAGTTATACATGTGAAGAAAGTTAGATATAAAAAGTTAGACACGAACTTAATATCTACAGGTTATGTACACAAAGTTAGATATTAAAGTTTGATAAAAAAAACTTACAACATAATACAGAAACTAAAACATAATAACTACAATATACAAGTTACATGCATATAATTTAATAAAACAAGTTCAATATAAGAAAAATATTAGGACAGTTCATACCAGTACTTCATACATACAAGTTATGTACAAAATAAGTACAATAAATTAATTAATCTCAATTGTGAAAAAAAACAAGAGATGCTTATAAATAAATTATCTGAAAAAGAACCAAATACTTATCCCCGTTTTCGTTTACTTGTCACCGAATTTTTACTGTATAGCAATTTTGACCATACGTTTTTTTCTACAAAAGATTTTTACATACATCAAGTTTTCACATATATGATTCTTTATTGAACATACTTCATTAGTGTTATATACATTGAAGTATCTAATATTTTTTTAGAAGAAAAAACAGATGGTCAAATTTGCTACACTACAAAGTTGCTGACAAGTAAACTCAAACGGAGGGAAGTATCAAATAAGAATGAACAAGGAACTCACGGAAACATACCCTGATCACTGACATTAATTAAACCGGTTTTGAACTGCAATACTCCTCTCCCTTTGTTGTTGGGATCAAAACTCTGGGCTAGCGTGTAAGCATGCTCACAAACTATATAAAATAAGTACAAACATAAACGTTACCACAAACATAAACGTTACCAGATCAAACCAAGTTTCAATTGTAAAATATTCCATTTTAAAACCGAACTGTATTTCAGTGTTGGCTTTTGTCATCAGTTTGTCACCATACATCGATAATTGACATAACCAAGGACCCCACCAGCTAGTTGAAGAACAAAGTGGCAATTGGCAAACGGTAGGAACCTGGCTAAGCGGCATAAAACAATATGTTTCCTACTTTTATTAGACAGGTCGAAATAAAACATCAGAATTGGTGTAACGTGTAATATAACTTAGTTGAATAAATCTGATCAAGTTTATTTAATCATTATCCTTTGATTTGGTGGAAGTTTGATTTTCTGTAGTGGAGTACCACAGTACTGTTCAACGGATGAACTAAGCAGAATATTGAAACTGGAATGATGTCCAACAGTATAATCAATGATATAGGCATCTAAATTCAGAGAACTACTGATATATTGAACTAAATTACCCGCTAGATACATAACGTCAGCAAGGTGCCAAGGACCAACTAAGCTAAATGCATACAACTAAAACTAGCCTAGCCATGATTCTAAAACAGTGGCAGCTAATTACGGATAGAATACGCTAGCAGGCAACATGAGCAATGTAGGCAAACAAAAACCCAGTGTCAACACAGGCACCCGATGCATGAATAAGCTGGAGGGGAAATAAATCTAGAAGAAGCAAACCACACACCATGCGTCGATCTAGGCACCACCACTCCGTCCTCCGCGTCGATCCACCACTAGCAGCAGCCCCCACACATGGGCTCGCCAGATCTGGCCTGCGACTGTGGGGTCTTCATCCTGGATCTCGGCGGCGGCGCGGAGCACCTCCTCGATGTGCACGTTGTTGCCGAGCGACGACGGCACGTTCCCGGCGATGCCGGTGACTGGCTTCCCGTAGGCACCGACGAGCCGCACCCCGCGCAGCGCCGCGCCCACCAGCCGCTCCCAGTTGGCCTCCGCCCTCGCCATCGGCGGAAGCCCCTCGGATCTAGCTAGGGGGCACCCAGCAGGCTCAGAGGCCGCTCGTCATGGGCACTGCGCGCCTCCAAGCGTCTGCGATCGACTGGCGAACGGGGATCGGCGCTAGGGTTTCGAACGCCGCGGGCACGCGGAGGCGTGTGCAATGGAGGTGGTGGCGTTCGAGCTGTGGGCGGGGAGAGGAAAGGAGGAGCAGTGGGCTAGTTGGGGGAGAAGGCAGAAAAGGAAAGGGAACCGAAAAGGAAAGGCCGCCGAAAATGAAAAGAGACGAGGCGGTTGGATCGTTCGCTCGGAACGGGCCTGTTCGGATGGCTAGTTCGTACGGTTGCTGGTTCGTTTATATGAGAGAGAAGTATTACTGGCTGGTTTAAGTAAACAGTACTCATGTGAGGGGGCTGGCCAGCCCAGCCAGCCCAGCGATCAGGCGGCAAAGCGGTGAACAACCGTAGCAGTGGAATTCGGTTTTGTGAGACGATCGCCGTCACGGTGCAAGATTTTTCAGTAAAAAAAAATATCTGGTTTTGACCTCAAATCATCCGGGTTTTCCGCGACGATCCCCGTCGTGGTACATGATTTTTCAGTACATCAGCTGGCAAGTTTGCAGGGTCCTCATCCAGAAGATAGCAGACACTAGCAACCACGGCAACCCATCAAAGGCTCAGTCGACGCACACTGGTTTGAGAAACAAGCCATCGCAAGGAGGATTCTTTTCCCGCCGTTCTGACTCCTATTTTCCAGGTCAGCAGCGGCAGCTTCAGTGAAAACAAAACATGACGAGGCAAACTCGACTTCCTTGACCATTCTAACATACATATGCATATATAGCTCCAGTCCAATCATTCCATTCACAACACAAATATCTTCGACAGCCCAGGCAATCTTTCTTTAGAGAAAACTATCAACGTGAATGAACAAGAAACACACCAGGTGGGTATGTGGATGGCAACCGAACCTTAGTTGTTTTGAGAACACCCACTGACCCACAGGATTACCTTTGGTACTTTTCATCACAAATTACAACATGAATGGCATGCTACAATCTAAACTAGTTTAAGCATCAGAACCACTGTCTGAATCAGAATACAATTCATATGGTCTATTCCTGTTCGTGTTTGCTTCAAGTGGTGGAAGATCGTCATCTTCATCAGAATCTGGTCCCTCATCAACCTGGGAAGTTTGTGCTTGTGTTCCCGCCTCTGAAGCTTCATTTGGAGTTGAGTTGAAAATAGCTGGCCTAATATAAGAAGGGACGAATTGGTCAGAAGAACAATTTCAGGATGTCAAGGTAAGCAACATTCAGCAAAGGTACACTAGGAGTTCAGTGCTGATACAAATGTCCACGAACTGATATTTTATAAGATCAAAATTAGTAGCTTAGGATCTCTAATCCTTTTTTTTTTCCTCTGCCATTACTTCAAAATAGAAAATACAAAACAGAATTCAGCATATCCAAAATAATTCTTTCGTGGCCATTTAATCAGGTAAAAAGCTATATGTGCAGTTCAGATTTATTACTCAGTGGCCCTTTCTTTTATTATGAGGCAAGTGAACTGTAACTGTATATCCAAGATGCAAAGAATTAGATGATCGATTTTGGGGGCTTGTTGAAAAAACAGAATTTTGGTTGAATGCCAATGACAACGACACCAGACCCAATGCACACTGAACATAGGTAATTAAACCAGTCACTTTGTAAATTGGCATTGCAGGTGCACTGTCATTTGGATATAGTTACATATGAGATATACCACCACCAGCTTCAGTCAAAAAAAGAAGTTTTTTTTTTATCTCAACCTAGATGGATCTTCCATGTTGCTGCTTATCGTTGGCCACTCAACAAAACCCTTCAAAACAGGAGGCAGCCAAACCAATGGGTGCAAATTATTCCGCATTGATTCTTCCTTCTATTTTTCATGTAGACTCGATCAATTAACATGAAGGAAACTATCCTTTCTTGAGGCATGAGGCAAACAAATTGACACACAAAAGTTGCAGCAGTCAAGTGGATATTCTATTATAAGATATACCACGGTTTGTGGAACATTGCACGAAAAATAGCAAAGAAGAACAATATTTACTGCCAGCTAACTTTAAGGCGCTGACCGGGGTGAGGTCCCTCTCCAGTACTCCTACCAACGTATCCTAAGTTTGGATTGAACTCATAAGCCAGAACTGTGAGTAATTGCCATTATCCAGCACCATTGCATCAAAGAACCCAGAAACTTACCAGCTACCAGTCTTCTCCAGAGCCCGAACTTGTTTGTGGAAGAGGACTTGCGAGACAACACACGCAATCTTGCTACCCGATTCCAGAGCCTGATCCCTCCCACTAGCGTCCACAACCACGAAACTCCCTGCGGATGCAGAGCAGACAGAGAGTTAAGTCGTAAAGCCAGTTCCTCTGTATCCAGGAGAACTAACCAACACCTCACGAATCACCCACCGTTCTTGATCCAGAAGCTCTTTTGGAACTTGGCAGGGAACAAGGCCAGGGACTTGACGCCCTCGCCGTCCATCACCTGGCAAGAAAGCACGCCGGTTAGGAAACGAAACTAGACGGTGCGCGACTGAACCCAGGAGCCCGGGGAATCATCGATAAGCGCCTCACCTCGATGACGTTGGAGCCGCGTAGCGTGAGGACCTGCATGATGCTCTCGCCCTCGGCGACCGTGACGGCGGCGCCCTCGTCGCACGCCCGCATCAGGTTCTTCCTCCCCGCCTTCATCTGCTCCTCTCCCTTCTTCGACGGGTACAAGGGAGGCGGGGCCTTGCTTCCCGGGGACCGAAGCACAGGGAGAGAAGCGACGACGGGCGGCAACAGCGGCGGCGGCGGCGGCGAGGGGAGCAAAATTGTCACGGGTCAGGTAAGGCTTCCGCCTTTGGGCGAACAGCCAGCCTTCCTTGGTGATGTGGATGCAAATTGGGCTTGGGGCCTTTTTACTCGTAAGGCCCAATACACAAATGCCCTACACGGATGGAGGGAGTACTAAGGGAAATTAGAGCCAAGGAATATATAAAAGCATCCGTGTTTAAAAAACTAAGTTTTATACTGAACAAATAGAAAAAATGTTGTTAACAAATGGGATATAGAGAAGTGCGCCCGGTCTGTTGATTTTTGTTTAGGGTCCAACGCCTTGCTTTATCCTTTATTTTCGTGACAACTGCCCTTGGCGGTGTGTGTTGCAACCGAAAAATTGAGCTTGTTCGCTGGTTGGTTTCTGGGCTGATAAGGCCGGCTAGTGCTGGTTTGTTGTGAGAGAAAAATATTATTGGTTGGCTGATAAGCCCTGGCTGAAACTAACAAGCGAACATGCTGACTATGCGCTCTGCACTTCAGCAGAGTAGAATGAGAAGGGATATTTGGGTTGTTTCGATCACCTAGGTTGTAGAAAAGCTTGGTTGTATATAAAAGTTAGGGTAACATTTTGATCCCTGAACTGTAAAAGGCTGGTTTGTAAATTGTGGATCATTACATATAAAAGGTAGGGCATTTTCCGTCGTTAAGGCACAAATACACAATTGGCCGGTATCATTTAACCACGTGATTTGGAACTTTTGGGTCTTTTGGGTTTGGTTTTATTTTGTTATAGATGTATTTTCTAGAGCTCGAATTGGATGCACGTAGCAGTCAACAGGTGTTCGGACACTTGCCTGCATTATTAGCCGTACGTGCGCTGTCATTGACTGGTAAGCTTTTTTTAAGACAAGCGACGGTATCTCTTTCTCCGTGAGGCATGCATGGGAGACTTTTAGAGCTCGTAATCGCGTGCGTCATCATTTAATTTTCGTCATGGCTGAGGCTGACCGTGGCTTGTTATTTCAAGTGAATGTCATGCCAAAGTTTATAAGACGCAAATGAAACGACGACGACTGCCAAGTGCCAAACTATTCTTGAGTCTTTGTAAAATTTCAACACCAAGTTGGTAAGAGTTTTCTCACTTCTTTCTAAACTATAATTTAATCTAGCTTTGCTAAAAGCTAAACTTCGCTATTTTGTTAGAAAACTTTCTAAAAATACAAAACATGTGTATAGAGGCTTTTAACATGACAATAGGCAGAGGAGCTATACTATGGTGGGGCTTCGGCTTCTTACAAGAAGCTCTACCAAACGGCCATATAAAAACGGCTCCTTGCAAGGATTATGAAGGAACCTGAGATGAAAAAGTAGCTTCTCTTGATTTTTTTCTCACAAACTTGATAAAAATTATTACAAAACGGCTACTCGAGCCGTTTTACCAAATATTTTTGAAAACAGCTCCAAATTCATCGTAGAAGCTGCTTCATAAGAGAAACCTGATCTAGAGCTCTTTTAGAAGCCTTATTAGCCCTGTCAAACTTGCCTCACAATCTTTTAATTATATTATTGCTAGGACCCACAACATATTGCTTCGATCTTAATTCCTGCATCCCAAAACCTAACTTGTTGTATACGTAGATCATAAATTTTACTTTCACAAATTGGTCTAGAGATCATGCATAAGTCATTGTAGAGGCCTAGATAAATACAAGGCGAAGCAATTCTTGCGCTAGCCTACAAAAATGCAAGCAACCTACCACAATTCTAGTTACTATAGTCTCTAAGCACACAATGCTAAGTCACTACCACTAAGTTAGTGAGCTCTTAAAGACTAACTAAAGAGCCTTGCTTTGAATCATGCATCTGATCGAGGCAGTGATCGGACGCTGTTCAACTTGTGACCTAACGCGACAGTCATGCGTCCGATCGGTGGTGACGTATGGTGACGTAGGCGAATGAGCGAGCGCAGTGAGGACCTGACGCGGTGGTGCGTCTGATCACGGGGAAGCAGACGCGTCCGGTCGCGTCTGGGTGGCTCTGGACTCGACCTGATGCTGGGGTACCACAGGCACCGGTGCGTCCGGTCGTAGTGTGGTGGCAGCGCGGGCACACTTGATCTGACGCAGTGGTGGTGTGTCCAGTCACCACTAAGTGATCACGTAGGAGATTTCGACCGTTGGACATTGGGCGGCCG